TCATTTTTTCTTTTTTAAAAATGTAGAACTATTCTAAAAATTACAATCTATTACAAAGAAAAAAGATTCCCTCCTTTTGAAGGATGTTACTATTAAAGGTCTTCACGATTCTCCTACAGGGGATGGGATTGTTTTGATATTATTAAATAATAAGTGATTTAATAATAAAAGTAAAGTCTAACATAGTGCTGGCACAGGTGACTCCTTCATCTATTTATGAGTTCATTCGACAAATATTTGAGTACCCACTATGAGATCATCTCTGTTCTAGATGTCAGCAGTACAATGATTAGTAAGACATGACATGTACATGAGAAGAAATGAGTATATAAAATACAATGTCATCTAATGATCAGTGCTGTTAAAAAAAATTTCACTAAACAGGGTGAGGGGTAGAGAATGATGGGAGGGTTCTGTTTTTCTAGAGCAGGTGGGAAGACTCTGTGAGGAGAATATCTGAAAGCACAGATCTGAAAGGAGAGATAGCTAGGCATGCGAACATGTTAGCAAAGAACATTCCAGCACAAGGAACAAGTACAAAGCGCTGAGGTAGGCATGTGCTCAGTGTATCTGGACGCCAGTGTCGCTGAAGCAGAGTGAGTGAAGTGAGTAGTGGTAGGACAGGAGGTCAGAGAGCTAAATGGGGCTGAGATCAGGCAAGGGCGTGTGGGAAGGCTGTCACTGTCGGGCTTTAACTAGCAAAGACCTGATGGAGTCTACATTGTATTTAAGGTTATTTCAGCAGTTGTACAGAAAATGGTCGGTAGAGGGCGCTAGAATGGAGCCATGCAAACCAGACAGCCGGCTACTGCAGTTGTCCAGGTGCAAAAAGATGGTGTTTAGAAGCTCAGGGGTAACCATGGAAGTGGTAGAACTGCTAGGAGTGGGGATGTACTTTGAGACAGAACCAATAGGGCATGCTCATCCAGCATGTGCAGAGGGTAAAAGAGGAGACTCATGGACTAATCAACAAAAATAAATGTGATTAAAATCAGGACCTGAAGACAAAATATCATAAATGGTACCCAAAATCTGGAGAACATTAATGTGCTCTAATGTGCTTTAATATGCTACCAACTACTTTTAGGATGACCACAGACTTGACATTTTGCTATGTAACATCATCCCTCTTTAGTGAGATCTTTGTTCTGTCTTGAACCTTCTGAGAAGACTTATCTCAAAGAGCAAAGGGAACTGCAGGAAATGGTATCTCTTGATGGGCAAGTATGCTCGCTTCCTCTCTTTCGGGCAGATGGGGAGGCTGCCAAGTGTAACGTGTTTCTGTATTGTCTTCTCTTTGCCTCCAAATTCTGGGAGGGCGGCAACTCCATTCACCATTGAACAATGAATGCCTGGCCCAGAATATATGCAATAAACATTTGCTGAATGACTGTGGAATGAATTGGCAGAGGAGCACCACAGAGCTTAGAGGTAGCCTAAGTCTCCCTTAGAAACCGTATTTTAAGAGAAAACAGCAATATCCAGGCCAACACAGAAGAAAAAGAATAAAGTAGAGGAGAGGGTTGAGGTTGTGTAACCAGTAAGAGTTCTAGACTTGAGCCAATACATAAGAAGCAGTGATTCTGCAAGAGACAGCACAAAGGGGTTAGCAGTAGTCATTGCTGGGAGTTTGAAGCTACCCTTGATGATCTCATCACAAGATTGTGAGATGTCAGAGCTGGAAGAGACCTCAGAAAACTTTCAGATTGACTTGCTCATTTTACAGATGAGGAAATTAAGGTGAAACGGCTTGGCAGTGGAACCCAATTCTCTGGACTGCAGATGTCAAATTCTTTTTTTATATTTCCCTGATTGGCAGTGATAGTGAACTTCCTTTTCTATTTGTAGGCTTAAAGAAGAGTTTTCAGAAGCAAGCTGGAAAGACAGTTTTCTAAAGTGCAAAGTTAATTCCCAAGTAAAATTCTTCTTTGGAATTCAATTGAAAATGAAAACCAAATCATCTCTCTTGATAATCTTTTCCTCTCATCATTCAGTGCAAAGGAGGTAGCACATCACAGTTCTCTTTTTGACATGGCTGCCAGGAAGCTTAGGGTTAAATTTAACACATAATCCTCATAACAATAGTGGCCTCAGTTTTTGACAAACAGTACTTATTTCCCCCTCTTCTTTATGACTTTCCATTTTTTTATAACTATTTCAATGGCCCTATTGTATGTGTGTTTTTTACTATAAGTCATCTCAAATTCTTTTTGGAAGTCAGCCAGGTATAAATCACCAATAAACCAAAATAGAAGGAAGATTTCGTTCCTCTTGTGCACTGGAACTGCTTCTTAGAGTGTGGTGTCCATTTTCAGATCCCACCCTTGACCTAAAAGCTCAGACCTTAAATCCTGGCTTTATATTTGCAGAGAGGGGAGGCCACCACAGAACAGATTGCGTACAAATGACTAGTTATAAAATTGTAGGGTCTGACTGCTAACTAGGCAAGTCCCTGGAAACTTCTCCAAAATGAAAACAAGATGTGGAAGGAGAGTACTATGTTTCCTGCGCTGACGTGGCAGAACTTCATTTACAGCCCTACCCTGGGGGGAGGCAGCCCCTCCACGGATGGTCAGCAGGTGGTGGACTGTGTCACATCCAACTCCAAGCTTTCAGCTGACTACTCCCCAGGCCTGCGAAATGAGATCACGTAGCCTTCATCTCCTCTGGATTCTAGCCACGTTAAGAGATTAAAGCACTCGTTTTCTGAAAACACGAGGCTTTCTTTTTCCTCCCTAAAATGAAATTCCTCCTCAACCACAAAAATTTAACCCAGGCAGGATTAGGAAAGCAATAAAGGAGTCCGTGCACAGATCTCTCCTCCTGCTTCCTCACTGCTTCAGACTCTTCTGTCGCCACTTCTGTCTAGGTAGTAAAAGGAACATTAATAAGTCCCCAGAAAATGTCTTCTCCAGAGGACACCCGCCATGCATGTTCATGCATTTGAACTTGACACTTTCGGTGGCTTTCTTGGTTTCCCCTCTTTCCTGAGTTTTTAAATTTGTTTTTTATTCCTATGGTGTTGGCCATGATTTCCACGATAATATAAGAGATATGTTCAAAAGAAAAATGGCTTCAAGAGGTACTGTTGCTCATGGAAATAGTCCTTCCCTAAAATATCCATTTGGATTCTGTTCATGATCTCTTCCTAGTCAGAGCCAATTTGTTCAGATGGAGACAAGGAGATGCTGCCCCAGTGTTTCCAACACCTTGAAGAATGAGGTAGTTGCAAAAATCTGTGATGTTTCTTTAGAACAATCTCAGAAGAATTATGAAATGCGGGAAAGACTAGTGTATGACATCAGCCTACCAGGTAAGAGCTCAACCTGGGCCCAGACTGCTTTATCTTTATCTTTATCTACCACATGTTATCTAAGAACCTTGAGCAAAAGGCTAAACCTTGTACATTACTTTCCTCATCTGTCAAATGGGGATAGTGTTAGTGCTTGCTTCAGAGAGCAGGCTCTCAAACTTCAGAGTGCATTGAAACAATGGGAGGGCTTGTTAAAAAACAGATACTAACCTCACCCTATGGTTTCTGATTTAGTGGGGCTGGGATGGGGCCTGAGAACCTGCATTTCTAACAAGGCCCCAAGTGACACTGATGCTGCCTGTTTAAAGACCACACTTTGAGAACCACTATTGTAGGATTACATGCAGATGACCTGGATAATATGCATAATGTAAATATTAACGAGGACTATTTTTATGTACTGCTGTTAGCACTATGCTTGGCAAAGGGTTACCTATGTTAAAAGGTGCCAGGTATTACAAGTAGGTCTGTCAGTTTACAAATCATAGTAAACTTGCAGTTGAACCATAATATAATCCATTGTAAGAAACCTCAGCATATAGGAGGGAAAATCCCATTGAGTTCCTAATACAAATATCCTTTTAAAGAGCTATCCATTCATAAGGGGTTGTAAGTGGTTCTAAATATTTAAAAGTGATGCCATAGATCATTGGTTTTTTCCCCCTCCTAAAACTTGTCAGTACCCATCTGTACATTTATTATGAGGCAGAAGAGAAACTAAAGCTGACATACCTAACTTCTGGAGGTTTTCTGTCATTTCTCTCCGTTACAGTAAAAGCGCCAAAATAGATGTAGTCATTACGGTCAAAAAGAATTCTTCAACTCATTTCAAGTAATCAAGGAGCCCAGGCAAGCGGGGATGCTGTAACAGCAGTTAGAAACATCAACAGCTTCAAAAGGGTATAGGAAACAGAACCGCTACCAGACGAGGGGATTGTTAAAAAGCTCTCCACAACAAAGGAAATGAACGCAAATCCCTAACCTGCGGGCGTTCCGGCAACCCCACGGGAAAGATAAAAGGCTCTGAAGCAAAGCTGTGGCGGGTTAGGCCTCGGGGTAAGAAAGAATCAAACGTCATGTCCAAGGTTAGGATGTCTTCTTGTGGGACTCTGACCATACTGGAGTCTGAAACAGACTCATACTTGAGTTAGGACCAGGGAAACCCCCACTTTCTAGTTGCCGTGCCACGCACCACTCCTCCCAAGGAGAAACTTCTTTTTAATAAACGTAGGTCGAGTGCCTAAGAGATTCAAGGTTCAGTGAGAGGTAGTCAGTCTTTGGTGAAAAAAACTTTTCCAGTTCGATCAGATCTAAGTTTTTAGTAAAAATTCTCCAGTGAAACACGAGAATTAGATAAAGCATTCTTGCGTCGTGATGGTTTTTGAAAAATTAAAGAAAGGGCATGTTTGCAAGAGTGAAAACAGACGCCTTGCCTTGACAGTTAAAACCTGTAACACAGAAACCGCTTTCCCCGACACTTCATTTCCAAGGACGGTCGTGATCATTAGCCCCAGGCGGGGACTCCACCAAGGTGTTCTGCACTTCCAGCGGGGTGAGCTGTGGGAGTGGGCAGCCCGTGGGTGAACTTAGAGGCTGTCCCTCCAGCCCAAAGCCTCCCGCGGACCCGGCCCGGGCGGAGGAGTGAGACGGGGTCCCCTGCTGGGATTCCGGGGCGGCCGCGACTCACCTCGCCAACTTCTCCCGGCTAGGGGCGCCCCGGCGACCGGCTCGCGGGCGCGGACGCGGGGGCCGGCGCCCCCGAACGCCTGGGCCGGCCCCCGGGAGAACGCCCGGGCCCGGGGGGCGCGCGGGGCCCGGCGCGGGGGGGCGCTGCGGGGCGGGCACGGGGCGCGCTGCTGGCTCGGGGGGCTCGGCGCGGCCGGCGCGCAGGGACAGCAGCGCGAGCAGCAGCGCGGCCAGCGCCAGGAGGAGCAGCGCCGCCGCCTTGCTGCGGAGCTTCATGGTGCCGCGCGGCCCCTCTGCGCATCGCGGCGCGCCGGGCGGCGGCGGCGGCGGGGCGAGCGCAGCGGCGCGCGGCGGCTACCCCGCCCGCCCGCCGGGGACTGGGGTCCGGGCGGCCGGCGGGCGGGCGGGCGGTGGCGGCGGCGGCGGAGGAGGCGGGAGGAGGCGCGAGGGGCCTGAGGAGGAGCTGCGCGCCTACCGTACTGTGTGGAGTAGCCGCCCGTCCGCGCACCCGCCGGCCGCCCCGCGCTGGGCTGCAGGGAGCGGAGCTTCCAGACTCTTACTTCTAAGTTCGTTCGTTCGTTCATTCATTCATTCATTCATTCATTCATTCATTCATTCATTCATTCATCCATTCATCCATCCATCCGTCCATCCATCCATCCATCCAGTCATTCCCTCCCATTTCACTCCATTCCCTTCTTTACTTCCTCATTCAGTCCCCAATTCGCTTACCCTTCCATTCTATCCTCTCTCCATCTGATTCCCTCATTCTTGCACGCTTTGCCTCCGTCGTTTATTTTTATCCATCTGTCCGCGCACCCATCCGTCCATCCAGTCAGGCCGGGACATCCCCGCCCTGTTTGCCTGTGCCCAAGAGCCTGGCACTTGGTGGTATCTGTTGGATAAAACCACTCCAGAGGCCTGTCTGTAGTCTAAAGAATTTACAGAATGAATTTCAAAGTCTGGGTTTGAAACCGGCACTGCCACTTACCGGCTTGGTGATCCTGAGTAAGCTGCCACAACTTTCTTGTCTTCATTTCTGGACATGCAAACTGGGAATGATAATACTGCTCTCCACAATATTTTGTGGGCGTTAAATTAATGCATTCAAAGAAACTAGCACAGTGCCTGGCTCACAATAGGTGCCCAGTAAAAGCTCTTTGATAATCAGGACAATAAAATGTAGCTTATCAAATATACATAAATGCATATGTGTTTTTCTTTTTGACATGGATTTAAGATAGAGTAGTAACTTCCCAAACCAGTGTAGGAATGGATTCTTCTGAGATTTTAACGGCTAGCCACCAAATCGAAGTTCCAGAATTTCCCAACTAGCCTTCCAAGGCACCCCCAATCCCAAATCTGATTAGGACACATCCTCTTATTATTATCCATGAACTGAGAGCTGACATTCTAAAACCTCGTTTTATAGCATGGCCACAAAATGAAGAACACCAGTTATAACCATGCCTCTTGAATTTCTGCCAGATTTCACTTTGCCTTATAAATCATTTAAAGTACAGGTATGTTCTGAATCATTGTCTCAGCATTATATTGTAATTATTTGAGAACCCATTGTATTTAGCGTTCTAGAAATGCAAATATTTAATAACCTGGAACCTCTTACCAAGCAGGCATCTGGGGAAGAGCAGGACATGAGCTCTGCACTCACAGGGTATGGGCTGCGGTGTTGCAGGTGAGCCAACACCATCCGTAGGTTCTCAATGAGGGTGAGAAAACGTCTTGCTAGGGAGCATCTGTAATTGTGGGAAGGATGTTTTGGGTTGTCACAATGATTGACAGGTCTCACTGACATATGCTAAACTTCCTGCAATGCTCAGGACACTCCAATACAACAAAGAATTGTTCTGGGTCAAATGCCAACATGGAGGCCCTGTTGAGAAACACTGAGCTTATCTTAATAAGCACTCCCCTCAAAACCCCCAAACTTTCTGTGATTTCTCTATACTAAGCAATCCTTACTACTTTTAAAACTTAATGGAAATAGCCTTATTGACAGTACCTAAAAAGTCCATTAACTGATAAGAGGATACACAAAATAAGATACATATGTAAAAAGTAGTACTATTAGCAGTAAAAGGGAATGATCTACTGATGTATGTCATAGCATGGAAAAACCTCAAAAACATTATTTGATGAGAAAGAAGCCAGACACAAAAAGACCACTGAATCTACAGTCCCATTCATCTGAAATGTCTAGAAAAGGCAACCCTCTGGAGACAGAAAGTAAAGTATTTCTTGCCTTTGGCTTCAGGTGGGGATAAGGATTAACTGTAAATGGGTAGGGAGATTTTATTGGGGCAAAGGAAACACTCTGAAACTGAATTATATTGATGATTGCACAACTCAATACTAACATCACTGAAGAGTGCACTTAAAATAGAGCAAATTTTATGAAATGTAAATTAAACCTCAATAAAATTGTTAAAAAACTTAATGGAGAATTTGGTGACAGTTCAGAGGTTTAGAGGGTTTTTTCTCAAGTATCGTTAATATACAATCTTATATTGGTTTCAAATATGCAACACAATGATTCAACAGTTACCCATATTATTAAATCCTCACCCCCACTAGTGTGGTTACTATGTCAACATAGAAAGATGTTACAGAATCATTGCTTATATTCTCCATCTTGTACAGTTGTCCCCAAGACCAACTTACATTATGATTGAGAATTTTTGTGCCCCTTTATTACCCTCACCCACCCCAATCCCTCCCCCATGGTAACCCCTAGTCACGTCTCAGTGTCTATTAGTCTACTGCTGTTTTGTGCATTCTGTTTTGCTTTGTTTTTATATTTCACAAATAAGTGAAATCATATGGTATTTCTCTTTATCTGCCTGGCATATTTCACTGAGCACAATACCCTCTGGATCCATCCATGTTGTTGCAAATGGCAGGATCTCTTTTTATTTGTGACTGAATAATATTCCATTGTGTATATGTACCACATCTTCTTTATCCATTCATCTACTGAGGGACACTTAGGTTGCTTCCATGTCTTGGCTATTGTAAATAGTGCTGCAATAAACATAGGGGTACATATGTCTTTTCTGATCAGAGATTTTGTTTTCTTTGGGTAAATTCCTAGAAGTGGAATTATTCGGTCTTACGGTATTTCTATTTTTAGTTTTTTCAGGAACCTCCATTCTGCTTTCCACAGTGGCTGCACCAATTTACATTCCCACTGACAGTGTAGGAGGGTTCCCATTTCTCCACATCCTTGCCAACACGTCTTATTTCTCATCTTTTGGATAGTGGCCACTCTAACTGGTGAGAGGTGATATCTCACTGTGGTTTTAATTCACATTTCCCTGATGATTAGTGACGTGGAGCATCTTTTCATGTGTCTGTTGGCCATCTGTGTGTCATCTTTGGAGAAATATCTATTTACATTCTCTGCCCATTTTTTTTACAAGCTCAATGGGTTTATTTTTTTATTTATTTTTTATTTTTTTGGTATCATTAATCTACAATTATAGAAAGAACATTATGTTTACTAGGTTCCCCCCTTCACCAAGTCCTCCCCACATACCCCTTCACAGTCACTCTCCATCTGTGTAGTAAGATGCTGTAAAATCACTACTTGTCTTCTCTGTGTTGAGCAGCCCTCCCCATGCCCCCCACGCACTATACATGCTAATCGTAATGCCCTCTTTCTCTGCCCATTTTTTAATGGATTATTTGTTTTTTGGGTGTTGAGGTATATGAATTCTTTATATATTTTGGATGTTAACTCCTTATCAGATACGTCATTTATGAATATACTCTCCCATACTGTAGAATACCTTTTTGTTCTTCTGATGGTGTCCTGTGCTATACAGAAGCCTTTAGTTTAATGTAGTCCCACTTGTTCATTTTTTATTTTGTTTCCCTTGCCCGAGGCGATGTGACCAGGAAAAAATTGCTCATGCTTATGTTTACGAGATTTTTGCCTATGTTTTCTTCTAAGTGTTTTATGGTTTCATGTCTTCCATTCAGGTCTTTGATCCATTTTGAGTTTACTTTTATGTATGGAGTTAGACAGTTCTCCAATTTCATTCACTTGTATATAGTTGTTCAGTTTTCCCAATACCAGTTATTGAAGAGGCTGTCTTTTCCCCATTGTATATTCATGGCTCCTTTATTGTGTATTAATTGACCATATATGGATGGGTTTTTATCTGGGCTTTCTATTCTGCTACATTGTTCTTGTACCAGTACCATACTGTTTTAATTACCACAGCTTTGTAGTATAGCTTGAAGTCAGGGAGTGTAATACCTACAGCTTTGTTCGTCTTTCTCAAGATGGGTTTGGCTGTTTGGGGTATTTTGTGGTTCCACATGAAATTTAGAGCTATTTGTTCTAGGTCATTGAAAAATGCTGTTGGTATTTTGATAGGGATTGCATTGAATCTGTAAATTGCTTTGAGCAGGGTGGCCATTTTGACAATATTAATTCTTCCTTTCCATGATCATAGGATAGATTTCCATTCATTTGTGTTTTTTAAAAAAATTTCTCTCATGAGTGTCTTATAGTTTTCAGAGTACTGGTCTTTCACCTCCTTGGTTAGGTTTAATCCTAGGTATTTTATTCTTTCTGATGCAATTGTAGGGGGAATTGTTTTTCTGATTTCATGTTCTGTTATTCTTTGTTAGTATATAGGAATGCAACAGATTTCTGTGTATTAATTTTGTATTCCGCAACTCTGCTGAATCCAGTTATTGGTTCTAATCGTTTTTGGTGGAGTCTTTAGGGTTTTCTGTGTATAATATCATGCCATCTGCAAATAGTGACAGTTTAACTTCTTCCTTATCAATTTGGATGTCTTCTATCTCTTTGTGTTGTCTGATTGCCTTGGCTAAAACTTCCAGTACTATGTTGAATAAAAGTGGTGAGAGTGGGCATCCCTGTTTTGTTCCTGATCGTAGAGGAAAAGCTTTCAGCTTTTCACCATTAAGTGATGTTAGCTGTAGGTTTGTCATATATGGCCTTAATTATGTAGAGGTATGTACCCTCTATACCCATTTTGTTGAGAGTTTTTATTATGCATGGATGTTGAATTTTATCAAATGCTTTTTTAGCATCTATTGAGATGATCATGTTGTTTTTATCCTTTTTGTTAATGAGGTGTATGATGTTGATTGAGTTATGAATATTATACTATCCTTGCTTCCCTGGATTAAATTCCACTTGGTTGTGATGGATGACCTTTTATGCATTTTGAACTCAGTTTGCCAATATTTTGTTGAGGATTTTTGCATCTATGTTCATCAGGGTCTATAATTTTTTTTTTTCACTGTCTTTGGTTTTGGTATTAGAGTGATACTGGCCTCAT